CAAAGAAAATATGAATTAAGACTGGTTATGTGGAAGCACATCAGTGACATTACTGAAGTTGAGCAGAACCACCTCAGCCTGTGTCAGACTCCGAAGGCTTCATGTTTTAACAACACGCTTGAGCTCTTGTACCACCCACACCTAGGCTCAAATTCCAGGTGGGAGTCTTCTGAGTTTAGATCAATCTATGCTACCTCTGAGACTATGTGAAATCCTAAGATTCTATGCAGAAGGCATCCTGTGGAGTAGGCTGTACCTCTCATTCAGAACTGAAAAGATTACACAAGATGAACAGCCGCTACACAGATGATTTTTCCCTCATATCACAAGTACGAATATAAAGCACAGATAGAAGATTTTTGCCAAAAGCCTAGTAACTTGTAAAGTTGAACCAAGGCTTAAAAATATTCCTGATCTAGAGTTGGGCATGATGGCACACTCCTTTAATCCTAGCACTCAGGAAGAAGAAGCAGGCAGACAGATTGCTTTGAGTTCAAAGCCATCCTAGTCTAGATAGCCAGTTCCAAGCCAGCTATGACGATACAGTGAGATTCTGTCTAAAAATAAATGAATGAATGAATGAATGAATAATTCCTAATTCAACAAACATGAAAATTTGCTGTGATTAGTTTATTGTCAACTTGATACAATCTAGTGTCACCTGGGAATAGGAACCCTCAACTGAAGAATTTTCTCTATCAGGCTAGCCTTTGGGCACACCTGTGGGGCATTATCTTGATTACTAATGATTTAAGAGGGCCCAGGTCACTGTGGGTATGCCATCCTTGGCAGATGGGTGTGGGCTGTATAACAAGGTAGCTGAGCACCAGCCAGGGAGGGAGCCAGGAAGCAGCATTCCTCCATGGTATCTGCTTCAGTTTATGCCTTGAGCTCCTATCCTAACTTTCTTCAGTGATGGAACTGTAAGCTAAATAAACCCTTTCTTCCCCAAGTTGCTTTTAGTTAGTGGTTTATCAACAGCAACAGAAAAAGTAACTAGAACACAGGCACACTAACAAAGTATGTAGTTACAGACACACGCTATGGCACTGGGAAGGATACTTGTTTATCAAGAACCATTCGACAGCTTCCTGATAAATACTGCCCCTTAGCAAAGTTTAAGTGTAACTTTTGCAAATAAAATTTTAACACCTTATGCTTATACAACAATTTGTGCTTTGTAAAGCCTATATGTAGTGCATATCATTTGGTGACAATAACCACACCCTTAAAGACCTACCTTTCTGTGACAGGAGTAATAATTTTCATAAACTAAAAATTTAAGATGTGAAAATCATGACTGGTTGTGCTAATATTTTCTCAACTGTTAAAAGAAGTGCACATTTTCCTTCAATTCATGTCATATACAGTAAAGTTTAAATCAAGGGCTTTAACAACATTCAGTTTCTCAGGAAGAAAAAAGTGGCTTGAACTTCTCTAAAAACCAGAGAAGTAATTAAAAAGACAGTGAAAAGAAGCTATATGATCAAAGAACAAATGACTGCTACCTTGAGAGACTAGAACTTTTCTAAGTTCACCTGTAAGCTACCTTAGCAAATTTCAGTTAAATGGGATCTTCAGTGTTATGTCACCCACCACACAGACCATACTTTCCCTCCAACCTTGACTCCTTCTATCTTCCAAAATCAATGGAGATACCAGGAAAAAAACCAAAAGCCCACATACAATTATTCAAAATAACTTTATTGAAAGATTATTGCCCTTCCCATCCATAGCAAGTCTAAATGCCTTCCTATATCCTACCTGCTCTATGTCATTAGAACCTCATCCCTTTGATAACAGCAAATGTGAGCCAATGGGAGTTTTTTTGGAAGGGAAATTACACCATGGATGTAGCACTGTCAGCCAGCATGCCCGTTCCGTTCATAATGTACACGGCAGCCAGACATGGTGAGCACACCACCTTTCCGTTGTTAAAGACACTGACCTAGATCAGATGCTGAGGCTTCATTATAGCAAAACCTTCCAGCTGGTCCCTGCTGGCTGGCCTCCCCTCAGTTGCAAGCTATCCAGCACTGAGGCCAGACTCAACTCAAAGTCACTCTCTATTGTTACTTTGTTCTTCAGAAATTCCAAATGTTCCCCATTCATAGCACGGGGTTTAAAGCAGGGCTTATTCCTTTGTCTGCCTGAAACAATTCTTTTATTTCTTCACTTTGCAAATGGTGATTAAGTTCATCCTGATGCAAAGTGTAATCAGAATAAAATTTATTTGAAAATGAATTGAAATGTCATGTAATTTTTCACCCATTCTCATTACAATCTATTAACTAATAGCACCACCTACCTTTCAAAGAAAGAATACTAGGTTTACTTTTCACATATGCCTATATGGGGTTGTTTAAGCAATTTATTGTGAATTGGGTCCAAAGTGAGAACAACAACAACAACAACAACAAACAAACTAAATACAGAAGTTCCATTTGATATTATGTAAAATACCTGTAACAGTATATATGAAATGTTATTTGTCAATGTTGCAAGGAGTCTGGCCAGCAACATACAGTAGAAAACGATAAACACACTGCATCACCTCTAAAGCCTAACTAGAAATGTTATACAGAACAGCACCATTTGAGTGAAAAGCTTAAAATTCATTCGCATTTTGTGCCTAAGCACTGATTTGAATGGATGTTGCTTTTTTCCATAAAAGTCTTTGCAATATTAGATTATTCTCCCTGTTTAAATAGGGGGGAAAATGACGACAAACTTTTTTTTGCTCCTTTTAGTGTGATACCCAGTTACTATAAATAGTAGTTTAGTATGGGAGGAGCTTGCTGATGCACAGTGCAGACCAAGTATCCACACTCCTTCCTTAAATCAAGGTTGTTTTTTGATCTCACACCGTGATAGGATTCTTTTCAGAAATGATTTCCTTATATGAACCCAATCATTATAGAAATATTAAATTATTGTTTAACTTGTGCAAACAAGTGCTTGCACCAAAAGCCAAGAAGTCAAACAAACCACACAAGGCCACTGGGTTCCGGTGTTGTCCATGAAGAACTAAAATGCCTTTAGCTGACACAGCGCCTCTGTACCACTCTCAGCTGTGGAAGCAAGGCTGCATGGGTATCCATGCCCTTCCCATTTACAGAAAATAGAGGGCAGATGTACTGCTAACCTTGTACAGTCACAGAAAACAGAACTCCAAATGAAAGATTCTCACAGCTGTCTCATGCTCTATTTTTTAGGTGTAACCACTAGAAAAGGAGACCTGGGGACTTAGCTCAGCACCTGCTGCCTAAGCGTGAGACAAGTTTAAATCTTCAGAAACCAGGTAAAAGTCAGATGCAGTAGCACAAATGTCTGCAATCCCAGCAGCCCCTAATAGGAGATAGGAGACAGGGACAGGAGGATCTTTGGAGGCTAGCTACCCTGGGACATACAGCAGTGAACAAAAGACCTTGCCTCAAGGCGAAGGCAAAGCCTCTTCTCTGACCTGCACACACTCGCAGTGGCACATGCAAGCCCACACCCACACAAACAAGCATATGCACCCCCTCATTAGAAAAAGAAACCCTCAAAAATTTCAGTGAAGCTGACCTCGAAAATAATGTAACTTATAAAAACTACTTTGAAAATAGCATTTGGTAATAATTTTAAGTATACGTGTTAATATGACAAAAGTTTTTGAAGACTTAAAAACGGCTTGTTAAAACTGTATAACTGAATTAAGCATTTTCTTAACGATTGATATAGTGGGACACTAATTATTTGAGAAGGCTCTTTTGTTAGGGCAGATAGTTCATGTCATACTTAATACAACTTGCACTATGTAGTCTTTTTCTTCTGGTGATTTATGTCAACTGACACTAACACCAGTCTTTCTGTGACTAGTGAATTAAATTACCATTCATTACCATCCAATTTAAATATAGTTATCTTGCCTGAGTTGCCAAGAGAAGCTGTTCTAACATTTATGATAATAAGGGGAAATTTCATGTGACTGATGGAACACAATGGGTATTTCCCATCTGTTTTCCCTCATCAAGTCTTCTACTTTATCCAAAGTTCCTTATCAGCTAGTTTCTCAATCCGTAGTTCAGACTGACCTTGAATTCATGCCCCAGTCTCCCAAATGTTGAGATTACAGGCATGAACCACCAAGCTGAGCTGCTCAGCTACTTTTCTATTTTCTCTGTCACACTAACTTTAAATTACTTTTTTCCTTTTGCAGAGTATGTTTTAAGATGGCTTAGAAAAATCACTAATGTATCTCAAAGCTTTTATCAAACACCTGTAGCCTACCATTTGAAGTAGACTAGAATTTTATTTTCTTACATTTGATCGAATAGAAACTAAATTCCAATGCGCTAAGAAACATCTTTTTAAAAAAATTTTATTATTTTTATTTTGTATGTATGAGTATATTGCCTGCATGTATGTGAGTGCACCTGTGTCATGCAATGCCGTGGAGGTCAGAAGAGGGCTTCAGACTCCCCTGGCACTGGAGTTAAGGATGGTTTGTAGCTGCCATGTGGGTGCTGGGATTCGAACCTGGGTCCTCTGCAAGAGCAGTCAGTGCTCTTAACTGCTGAGCCATCTCTCCAGCCCCAAGAAACATCTTTATATTTGAAACAATACAAACTTAAAATGCTTGGTATGAGAAAACCCAATTTATTTCAATATATTCCAACTCTGCATAAAAATACAATGTTCACTTCTGAAGGTTTAGATATTTTAACTACAGCTTTTCATGGAGCAATTCCCCCGCCCCCACCCCCATGCCACTATTTTTGAGACAGAGTCTCACTGAGTATAGCCCAGGCTAGCCTTGAATTCACAGTGATCCTCCTGCTCCAGTCTCTCGCATGCTGGGTTTATAGGTATGAACCCAATTTTCCTATTTTTTGATCTTTTGAGATTGAGTCTCTGAACAAAGAACTCTTTTGGTCTTCTTCCTCTTTCTTCAGTTTTGTTTTATTCTTCGCTATAAGTTCAGTGTTATAGAAGTGAAAAATAAGACTAGAAACATACATGGCTAAGACATATCTGGCTTTATATACATAAGAATTTAATAATGTTGCCATAACCCCTAATAAAATGTAATCCTTATTCATTTACTATTATCCAGAATAAATTTCTATATATATTAAATTGTTCAAGTATATCTAGAGCAATGTTTATAAAAAAGAGATCCTGATGCTTAAAAAGGCATTTCTTTGAAGCCCACTTTTAACTTCAACACAATTAGAGCTCTATTGATTTTTTTTTTTATTTTACAGTATATCATACATTCTCAAATATTCTAAAATCTCAAATGGGCCAAATATAGGATGTATTTACATTAGTTTAACACCCTTTTGTACAGCACCAGACATTAAAAAATGTATCTGACCGACCAAACGTTTTTTATTAGTCACAGTTTATCACATATTTCTAAAATAAACACACACTGAAAATCAAGACAGCTTAGGCCAAGGGTTTTTCCCTTCAATAAATAAGCATTTCATTGACTTCATACTTAAACACCTAATTATATGTGAACTTTTAGTCTTTGAGGGCTAAGCAAGTAGCATAGGATTCTCTAGGTTTGCTTTGAAACTTTCAAGAAATCTTGTTGCCAGTTCATCATCAACCACTCGGCTGTCACTTGACATGGTGACCCTTATGAGCTGGTGCTGCTGCAGTTGGGCATTCCCCTCTTCATCCTCAGTGAGCTTCAATACTGGCCGGAATCTTCCAACAGCCAAAATGCAGGCCTGAGGAGGGTTGATGACTGCAGTAAACTCATCAATGCCAAACATCCCCAAGTTGGAAATACTAGGAGGAAAAACAAAACAAAACCAAACCTCAGAAGGTGGTGTGGCCCAAAGTACATATTTGTACTTTACTAAAAAACTGTGCTACTGAATTTTGATTCAAAGATCAAAGAATATCTATAAACATACATACAAAAAGAACTATTGTCAAACAGCACTGAACTGGAGGTCCTAACCAGTGACAAATGGAGAGGAAAAGAAAGAGAAGGATGAGTAGTGAAAGGATGCAACTGTTCTTTACAGATGAACTGACTGTACAGAGAAAACTACAGATAAATGCTTAAGGTCAGTAAGTGAATTTATGTCACTATGTAAAAGGTAATATATCTATGCACAAGCTAACATTTAACTATGATATTTGAAAATAATACCACTTAGAATGGTATCACAAAACAAGTATAATGTATGACTTTCACCAAAAAATTATAAAACATAACTGAAAGAACTAAGACTCAATGCTGTGAAGATGACACAGTAAAAACAGGGTCCCCTTCAGGATTCTTAGTCTCATTCTTAAAAGAAATTACAAGTGGACTCAAACAGAAGCTTTAGGAGAATTTTATTAGAGTTTAATGAAAAGTTCTCAGGACAGGCAAGCTGTAAATCTCAGCAGCTGCCTAGAAGGAGAATGGAGGACAGAAGGAGAAAAGCCATAAAGGCATGGCGAGGAGGGAAAAGAGCTTTAGAGAAAAGGGAAGCCCAAAATTCAAGGGAAAGCATGGCTAGAAAAGAGATAAAGAAGAAAAGAAGAGATTATGCTTTTATGAAGAATTCAGACAACTGAGCAGGTGTACTGAGAGCTCATGTCTGTAACCCAGTCCATAAGCACTGCACTAGGGCGCTGGGATTCCAGGCAGGAAAACTTCACCAACTCATTAATGCATTAGGTATTCTCCCTATCTCTGTAGCATGACTTAAGGTGAACCTGCCCTTCTGGGGATGGTTCTGACCAGGTGATCGACCTGGAAAAACTAAAAGTTATCAATCTGCACATTCTTGAGCCCTATATATACCCCAAGAAACACTAAAACTTAAAACCTAACATTAAAATATTGGCAAGAATGCACAGCACTAAGAATTCTCATGCACTATTGACAGTGCTGTAAATTTGTAGAAATCATTTTGGAAAATTCTTTGGCAGTACCTATCAAAGCTTTTAATCCAGGAACTCTATTTTTATGACAACAACAAAAAAGGGGGTATATATATTCACCATAAGACACTGGTAAGAATGTTCATGGCACCATTATTTGTAATAGCACCAATCTGGAAACTATTCAAATACCCATCATGAAAAAGATGGATACTGGAACATTTATACAACAGATTATTATATATTACAGTGATTAATAAATGGCCGCTTCACATAGCAATATAGGGACTCTCTCAGATATTAGAGGTTAGCAAAAATCACAACAAACAAAAACCATTCAGACAATAAAAAGTACATAGTATTTATATAAAGATCAAAACCAGCAAAAGGAACCTATGATAACTTCACAATGGTGTGACCTTTGAAAAAGGGTGGCATTGGGGAGAAAAAAGGTTTCTGGGTTGCTGGTAATGTTCTGCATCTTTCTTTCGGTGGTTACATGTGTTTCTTCATATTATTACATAAATTATTGAAGCTACACTCAGTATACTTTACGTCAGTGACACTTAAAAACAGAACTAAAAATATTGTTCACAGCCCAGTATCACAAAAAATAAAAATAATAAACACAAGAAAGGACATGACTGAGGCTTAAAAAAAATCTACCTTGTTTATAAAGCAATTAAAAGATAAAAGTTTTAAGAACCTGAATGTCATTTTTTGACAGCTGATGTCCAATCAAAGGACTGCATATTCAACTCTAAGGAGTCCCTACCACTGTAGTATGAAAGCCTGGCCACTCTGACGAACACTTCCACAAAGTCTCTTATCTAAATTAGAATGTGATTGTGAACCTAAATTTTAAGTGACCCAAATAAATAATGAAAAAAGGTGGACACAGACTAACCAGTCATATCTATTTTCTTAATGGTATTGATAGTTAAGAATTTAAATTTTACCTAAAAGATCCTCCTTGGTACTCTTCAGGTAACAATTTTCCATCTCTTGCTTTCTTTGATAAAACCTGAGAAAAACACAGAGCATGTCAACCAAGCAGTAGCTGACAGTACCTGCACACGGCAACCTCTCATTTCGCATATCTTGGTTGAACTTTGGAAGTATCATATATTTAAGTTTTTCTCTAACCTAATCATAGGGGAGCTAAAGAACAGATAGCCCAGAACCTAGTGGAGCAAGGGGAGAGAGAACACTAATGCATCTCTCAACTCTCATCAATGAAGCTCCCTCATGCAGCAGAGGGCAATGAACACAAAGGGCCACAAATGACCAAAGCATAAAGAATACGAGTCTGCAGAGTGTGGGTCCTTGGACAGGACTCCCATATTAAACTTCACCCACCCAGGGCTCAGGGACCATTGTGGAAGAGGGGGCAGAAAGATTATAAGAGCCAGAGAGGAGGTGCATGACCGCATGGATACAGAATTACAGGTTCCCTGGGACCTTGCGCATATGTACTTACAGAAAAGGTGACAGCATGCACAAGCACAAAAACTCAGCATAGAACTGTGGAAATGGGCAGCAGGCCGCAATCTTAGCCTAAGAACTATTGGGCAGCTGATTACTGCTGGGTGAGGAAGAGCTGATCTTCTTTAAGAGAGTGACTCTAGATAAGCTGACTAAACCCTAGTGGATGAATGTGCACTGAGGGATGTTAGGGGATACTAACTTGACTTGATAGGCCTTAACATAAATGGCAGAATGCATGAGATCCAGTGGGGGTTGGGGGGCTATGGGAGGGTGCCGATGGGGAAGGGGGTATAAAGATGATTAAGATGGTGTGTATGAGATAAAAATTCAATAAAAAGTTAAAATAAATAACACAGCAACAATAAAACAAAACAAAACAACCCAAAGTCCATATTGCCTGAGGCATTCAGGTGAAAAGATATAAAAAGATGCCAAGAATCAAGTGTGAGGAGCTTCTAATCATAGCATTTGGGAGGAAGAGGCAGGTGGAGCTCTGTGAGATCAAGGCCAGGCCAGTCTACATAGTGAGTTCCAGGCCAGCTGGGGCTACAGGGAGACCTTGCTACAGGGAGACCTTGTCCCCAGATTTAAAAAATAAAAACATACCAAGCAAATATTTCTACAGAAATGTACATGTCCTTCCAAGTCATTAAAAAAACAAAACAAACAAAAAACCCCAAACAAACACATTACTGGGTACTCACAATATAAAGTCTGCCTCTGTCTTTTAAAGTTGTTATAATCAATGAAGAATTAAGCATAGCACAGGATCCAGCACTTATTACTACTAAGTTACTTTATTCAGAAAATACACATTTAAATTTGACTGGAACTTGCCTTATACCCCACACTGGTATCTTTGTGATTAATAAGAGTGAGTATATTAGCACACATGTACTTAGATGGGTTTTCAGGGATCTATCTGCAAGTCCTTAAAAATTATCAGCAAGTTTTTTTGAAAAAAAAAAAATCATTGAGCAACAACTATATTGTAAGCACTCTCCCAGAATTAGATACACAGCAATGAACACGACAGTTAACATCAGATAGGAGAGAGCACAGAAGTCTACCAATAAATGAACAAAGTACTCTCAAAGAATAAGGAAACAGGATCACAGAATAAAGTATCAGGAAATGTACAGGCCACGGAAGCCACAGAAGCCTGCAAAGATGGTGGTGGGATGGAGACAGGAACAATAAAAAGGAGTCAGTCAAGTGAGGACCTGGAGAGGTGTGCGCTGGATGCTAGCATGAGTCCTGGGTTAACTTGTCCATGGTCTCAGAGTCCCTTCAAAAGATCGTGGCACACACTTTTAATCCCAGGCACTTGGGAGGCAGAGGCCTGTGGATCTCTGTAGGAGTGACACCAGCCTGGCTGATCTTCACAGCAGGGTCTCCTGCCCACTAGCTGACTGAGGCCCTGGCCTGCACTCCTGCATGCTCTTCACAGTTTCTCTGGTGGAGGGCTATCCTCTCAGGCCTCCCTGTTCTTGACATCTCAGTCATGGATCCCAAATCCTGAGCTACAAGATTAGTCTACCAGACAGAAGACCGTAACTGCGTTCTTGTTCTTATATGTAGTGAATCAAATAATTGTGGTACATCTGGTGTAGTTGATTCTCCAGGTATTCTTGACTTGCTCATTTCTTAAAGTATAGGGACTGATGCTTAACTTTTTCTTTTTTGAGAGAAGACACTATTGGTTACCACTATATGCAAACATGGGTCTATAATTCTATGAGAAGCAGCAAAGCTCAGCAATTCAAAGCACAGGCTCTAGTCTGGAGCCTAGACAGGGAGCTGGTAGGGCAGTGTTGTCAAACACGGGATCTACTACTTAACAGTATAGGATCTTACACAGATTATTTAACTGTTTTTCCTTATGAGGTTATCAACTTCAAGAAATAAAAATAATAATTATTATTATTTTATCCCTGATAGGGTAGTTTTAAAGAGGATTGGAAAAACTGAATATATATGACAGAAGTTGCTACGGAGAATGCCAGTTGTGTTACTTTAGTCGTTGTAATTCTTCTTTTGTACTTTGTTTTTATTGAATTTTTCTGTATTTCACAGAGAACATCTCAATTAATCTTAATCATCTTTATACCCCCATCCCCACTGCCACCCTAGCATAGCAACCCATTGGAATTCATACATTGTCATTTGTGTTAAGACCTATTGTGTCAAGTTAGTGTCCCCAGACGTTCCTCAGTGCAATCATCTACTGAGGTCTAGTCAGCCTATCTAGATCAGCTCTTCCTCACCTAGCAGTAATCAGCTGATGATGTTTCTTCAGTTAAGATTGGGGTCTGGTGTCCATTTCCCCAGTTCTATGCTGGGATTTTTGTCTGCTTGAGTTTGCATGGGACTCGTGAATTCTGACACTATTGCCCTAGATTCTGCACACTCTACACTTTGGCCATTTGTGACCTTTTGTGTTCCTGGCCCTCTGTTGCATTAGGGAGCTTCATTTATGAGAGTTGAAAGATTCATTAGTGTCCTCTTTAACTCTGTTCTATGTTCTGTGAGCCTTAGGTATACAGGTTGCACTGTAAATGTGTCACTTAGACCTGGGCAATTCATAGACAATGCCTGTGTGTGACCAGCTGTGGTACTTGGTAATAGTCTCCATCTGGTGCACAAGAAGCTTCTTTGATGAGTGGTGTCTGGAATATTTATCCATAAATATAAGGATACATATTTTACACATGGTAACAAATTACTAGTCTAGGGATGTGACAGTCTTGGGGTTTTCTCTAAGATCTATGACCTTTCCAGCTATGTGTATTTGGCTATGTTTACAGTGCCACACTTTCCTCCCAGTGAGTGGGCTTTTAGTCCAATTAGGTAGCTGTTGACTGCCCCAAAGATCAAAGTGTCACTACTGCACCAATGTGCTATGCTGGTCACTGATGTGATTATTTGGTCTTGAAGCTGAAGCTGGTGTTAGATTATCAGTTAATGTTTTCCCTCAGCACCTTCATAGTGCTCTCCAAAGTAATGAGAGCTAGCCTTCAGGGGAAGTGGCTTCCAGGTCAGTTCCAGCTCCACTGCTTCAAATTCTGTGTCCGAAGTATGTTATGTCTTCAGCAGTAGGGTCTCACCTTCAAGTTCTGGGAGGCCACCAAGAGCTGTGGCAAAGCCTGTGTTATATTGGGAGTCTCTTGGACCACCCTGGCCAACAACTCAAAGGAAGACATCTCCTGTCTGGCACTGTTTCTTGTTTTGTAGCCTTTAGCTACACACATGACTCATGTAGAGATACTGTGTGTGTATCCCTCTGGTTTTTTAAAACTAGCTAGGCATTATTTCTCTCCTCTCTCCCTGTCTAACTCTTCCACCATGGCTTCCCCATTTAAAGTGTCCCCATTTTCTCCATTTCTCCCTTGATAATACCCGTATCCTATGATCCCACTTCTTCTGGGCTCCTTCTTTCCCTTTATCCCCAAGGTTTCTTGTATAACCCTCCCTCCCCAGGCCCATTTAAATACACCCATTTTTATCCATTTCTCCCTTAGAAACACCTGTCTCCTACTGTTCTTCTCTCTCAGGTTTTTTCTTTCCCTTTACCTCCCTGGTTCCTTCCATTATCCTGGTTCCTGCAGTTACGTCTAGATACATACTCAAATATAAGGATTTGGTGCTAGGATCCACATATGAGGGAGAACACATGTTGCTTCTTTTTCTGAGTCTGTTACTTCACTTAGTATAACAGTTTCTAGTTCCATCCATTTACCTGCAAATTTCATGATTTCATCTTTCTTTACTGTTGAGTAGAACTCCATTGTATAAATGAACCACATTTTCATTATCCACTCATCGGTTGAGGGACCTTTAGGTCTTCCATCTCTTAGCTATTGTGAAAAGAGCAGCAACAAACATGGATGTACAAGTGTCTCTGCAATAGGCTGAGTACTTTGGGTATATACCAAGGAGCAGGATAGCTGGGTCTAACGGTAGGTTCACTTTTAGTTTAAGGGTTCCCCATACTACTTTCCATAGGGGTTGCAACAGTTTGCAGTATCAGCAATGGATGAGCATTCTCCTTTCCCCACATCCTTTCTAGCATTTGGTATCATTTGTTCTCTTGATCTTACTAGTCTGGGGTAAGATGAAATCAAAAAGTGGTTTTAATTTGCATTTCCCTAACTACTAACAATGTTGAATACCGTTTAAGATGTTTCTTAGCCATCTTTATTTTTTCTTTTGAGAACTCTCTATTCAGATCCTTAGCCGATCTTTTAATTGGGTCATTTGCTTTCTTGATTCTTTGTTTTTCTGAGTTTTTTATATATTCTGGATGCTAAACCTCTGTTAGATGTGTCGCCGGTGAAGCTTTTCTCCCACTCTTGTGGGTTTTCTCTTCACTTCCTTGGTTTGTTTCTCTTGCTGTAGAGAGGCTTTTTCGTTTAATGAGGTCCCACTTGTTGATTCTGACCTTAATTCCTAAGCAACTGAAGTCCGATTTAGGAAGTCCTTTCCTATACCTATCTTGTAGGTTATTGCCAATGTTTTCTTCTAATGTTTCAGAGTTTGAGGTTTCATACTGAGGTCTCTGATCCATTTGGAGCTAACTTTTGTGCAAGGTAAAAGATAAGGGTCTAGTTTCATTTTTCTATAGGCGGAGATCCAGCTTTGCCAGCACCATTTGCTGAAGATGCTCTTTTCTCCAGTGAATGTTCTTGGTCTCTTTGTCAAATATCAGTTGGCTGAAATTGTATGTACTCATGTTTAGGTCTTCAATGATGTTCCATTGATCTATGGGTCTATTTTTGTGCCAGTACCATGCTATTTTTATGACTATGGCTCTATAATATAGCACTGTTCTTTGTTCTAAGGGTTGCTTTGGCTATCTGGGGTCTTTTGTGATTCCATATGGATTTTACGATGTTTTTATAATTCTGTGAAGAATGTCATGAGGATTTTGACTGGGATTGCAGTGAATCTATAAATGGCTTTTGGTAGGATGGTCATTTTCACAATATTAATTCATTCAATCCATGAACATGAGAGGTCCTTCCATCTCCTGGTATCTCCCTCAATCTCTTTCTTTAAATATTTAAATTTTCATTGTAGAGGTCTTTAATGTCTTTGGTAAGGTTTATTCTGAGATTATTTGTTTATTTATTTTTATTTATTTATTTACTATCATCTTTTTTTCTTTCTTTCTTTTGATCGTTTTTATAGATTAATTTTATAAACTGCCACTTTACTGAAAGTGTTAATCATTTCTAGGAGCTTTCTTAGCCTATCTGGTCTAAAGTAGATTTATGCCTTGAATTAAAATCATCCTATATTTTGTCTATTCAAATACACATATATTATACTTAAATTTTCTTTTTTTATACAGGGTCTCACTATGTAGGGCTAACTGGCCTAAAACTTGCATTAATTTTATAAACTGCCACTTTACTGAAAGTGTTAATCATTTCTAGGAGCTTTCTTAGCCTATCTGGTCTAAAGTAGATTTATGCCTTGAATTAAAATCATCCTATATTTTGTCTATTCAAATACACATATATTATACTTAAATTTTCTTTTTTTATACAGGGTCTCACTATGTAGGGCTAACTGGCCTAAAACTTGCTATGTAGACTGGACTGGCGTCAAACTTAGAGATATACCTGTTTCTGCCTCTTAAGTGCTGGAATTAAAGGTGTGTGCCACCATGCCAGGTCCAACATTACTTTTTTTTGATACAGGGTCTCCCTGTAGCCCCAGCTAGCCTAGAAATCCCTATGCAGACCTCACAGAGATCTGCCTGCCTCTGCCTTGCACCACCACATAGAGTCAATACTTTTTGAAAGCTACATTACAAAATCTTGATGTATAAATGGCAACAAGATTTAAATTGTGTCAAGGTGGCATTCTCTGAAAATGGAACACTGACTGCCTACCTTTTCTGGAGAACAGGGGAGTCAAAATTCAACATTAAAGCACAGGACAGTGAATGTACTTCCACCTTCAGAAGAAGCGCTGCAACGGTATCACCTTGGACTAATGACATTAAACACACAGGATCTGGTATACCATTAGTTCAAGAGTAGACTGCTGGGGTTGTAGAGATGGCTCAGTGGTTAAGAACACTGGCTGCTCTTCCAGAGGACCAGGGTTCAATTCTTGGCACCCACATGGCAGGTAACAGCTATCTATTAACTCCAACTCCAAGGGATCTGATGCCCTTTTCTGGCCTCTGCAAGTTTTGCAGGACTTATATACATGCAGGCAGTACACTCATACACATCAAATTAAAATTTTAAAAGGGGAGTAGACTGGTGATCACAGGTAGTGTGAGTTGATACAGCTGCATGAGAAGCAAAAGCTCAGCAAACCTGGAAGATGCTGAGAGGTACAGGAAAGATCCCAAGACCCCCAGAGACCATTATATTCTGCAGGTTCTCACTGCCCTTTCCATTTCTGCGAGGCCTAGCTCAGAGGCTGCTAAGACTAGGAAATGCTAATAGCTGTTTCAATAATGTGGCATTATTTCAATACCATGGCATTATAGTACTAAAATGGTGAAAATGCTCAGAATCAATAAAACCTATAATGGTTAAAAACAATGTACATAAAAATAAGAAAATTCCAGTTCTAGAGCTTGGTAATTTTACCTGGTATTTTACATGTTATTTCAACATTTAATGGCATTTCACCTTCTTCACAGCACTGGAATACATGTTTCTTAGTGGTGCTGAGATCCCTGATAAATAAGAGGCATGAAAAGTATTCTTCTGCACCAGTAGCTTCACTTTCCAGAGTTTCATTACCCTGTGGTCAGCTTGAGCCTGAGAATATCCAATGGAAAATTCCAGACATGATCCATGTTTTAAATTGCATGCTGTTCTGAGTAAGATGATGAAAGTCTCAAGCCATCAAAGGCACATATTTGCCCCATTGTCCAGTACACTCACTCTGTATACACTACTGTATGTAATAATACTTAGGAATGGTCTCCACCAATCAACTGTCTTGTACCATTACAGTACCTAAGTTGACCTAATTCTTAGTTTACTGAAAAATGATTCCAAAGGGCCAGAGCAATGATGCTGGCTGGTAATCTTATTATAGTATACTGTTATAATTGTTCTTCTTTAGTATTGCTAAACCTCTTACTGTTTATACTGCTAACTTCTTACCTTTACATTGGGACACACACACAGGAAAAAGTAGATGTAGAGTGGTTTCAATCAACTATAACAAGGTGTTGGAATGCATCCCCTATGGATAAGAGGGAACTACTTATGTTATAATTCAGCGAACCAGACCATTAACTTTGACTTTTGATCTGGTCAAATTAGTAAACCTTTCAATTAAGAAAAACATATAAACTGTTATTGAATATGTCAATGTATTTGTAATGAAATGCTTCTACTAATTATATGCTTATTAAATAAAATTTTAAAAAACAATCCAGTTTAAACACTGTGAATTCTTATTTTGTTAAATTCTTATTTTTTTAAGCTGTATCACCCCAAATTCCCACTGTTATCTAAAAT